CCCCAAAACCCCAAAACCCCAAAACCCCAGTTCAGGCAGACGGAATAGGTGCTATATAATATTAAGATATTTAAATGGAGTCTCTAGATACAAGGGAGTTAACACATGAAGGTTTGGATACAGAAGGTACGGAACAAGCTTAGAGTCTGCTACTACTTCACCCTTCTTGATTATTCATCCCTACTTAGTTTGAGGCAACATTATTTGTGATAACTGTTCTGGTGAGCATTTGAAAGACACATTGGAAAGCTTAGTTTGATTATTGCTAAATTGCATTGAGAAATGCAGGGTAGCAGATTATCTGTTTATTAACCATTCTATTATCAATGCAACTTTCAATAGCCAAACTGGTTAAATACCTGCTATTATGAAGATTTTATTCCTAATAGTCCAATATTTCTTTATCATGAACTTTAAAATATGACCTGAGTTGCTAATCTTTAGTGTAGATCCAAGGAACCTAAAGCTGGCACGGAAGAGAAAGTAAGCTACCTTTCAAACAGTGAAATTGTTACTTCTCAAGAATAGTTGAAAGAGTATTTTCTGCTTGGATTGATCACCAGAAGTATTTACAAGGTTGCTCTTCTTGGTGGATCCAAAATTCTGCATTGGGTTTAATATTTTATCGACTTTCTTAAAATCATATGATTTTATGGAAATGAAGGATTCTGTGACTGGGTTTAACTTTTAGCATGAATCAATTTAGTATCATAAGCTCATTTCTATAAGTTTTTGGAGTTGAAAGATAGCTATATTTAGGAGAGAAGAGCAAATTCAAAAAGAATCAGAAGAGGTTGACAGTCAAATCTGTGTTTGCCTTCATTTAAACATTTTGAAGCACAGCCAAAGAGTTCGACCAAATTGGGATCTTTGCTTCATTGTTAATTGATACAAGTAATTTTATTGGGATTCATAAAATCTAGATATTGAAAGATGCTGAAACAACTCTCTCGTTTTATGATGCCTCTAGGATCAAAAGCTTTGTTCTATAATCGATCTTTACCGCGTTGTCGTATCAAAGAGTTTTTATCAAAATCAGTTCCAGTCAGGATTGAAGAGATTAATTCTATTTGCAATCAATTTGATAAATCTCCTGCTCACTTCAATTTGATTCTCCGTGCCAGTATGTGCGCAACTGCAAAGTTTACGCTTGGACTGTTTAGAAAGTAAGTTCAGTCTGATATCTGTAGTCTGAACATGAAGCAACTTAAGAGGCTGTTTTCAGCCAATAAGCATACAAGATCTTTCAAAATGTTCCATTGCACACTTTGCCTTCCTGCTTCCCCAGACTTTTCAGATTGTTTCAGAGACACAACTCTGGCTCAGCTTGAATTACATTATGTGGAGGTGGTAAACAGAGAGGAGTCAGATGAGCAATTACATGAGCTGGATGGACTGATTTCAGGCTTATCGAAATCATCAGATCTTCATAAAAGTATCAAGAGAATTGAAATTCTTTCCCTTGAAACCTTCAAGGAGCAAAATTATCAAATTCTGGAGAAGTATGGATTTCCTTTTGAATAAAAATTGCCATTACGCTTACCTCCTGATTTCTCAATCTATTTCAGCTTGGTGCTTTGGGTGGCTAAAATAATGTACTAATGCATATTCGATTAGTTTTGCCTGAAGTATTGCTAAGACTAGCTTAGGTATACTCTCTTAATTATCTTAAGAGCCCGTTCTCTCAGCCACAGGTAATACTATCCTTGTATACAAGGCTAAGCTCTTCAGAATGAACTGGTGAACCATTTGAATAAATTGAATAGCCACCTTAAGAAAGATTATCTGCTCGTTTTGAGTCAAGGAGCATGACTGAAAGTTTAGCAGTCTATATCCTCTTGATCAAATTCTAAGCCAGAAAGTTTGGTTTTTATAAACCAGTGGTATTTTAATAATACTGTTGTGCTGGGAGGGATGGGTCAGCCAGAGTGCTTAGATAATGACTTGCTCCCATCCCTGAAGTCATAAACTTAGGAAGATTAGGGAGCAGTAAGTGGGATCGCTAATTCTTAAGCTCAAAAATTCATCCATTAGGTACACTTTTTACTATAAGGTCTTCAAGAGTCTTCTAGAATAAAAATCTTGTGTGAGTAAAGTATAGAGAAGCTTATAATTATTAAGAAATTTTATTTATTTCTTTAACATAATTAATAGCTGAAGAATTTATGACTGAAGGATTTTCAATAGTGTAGGTATAAAGCAGAGAGATTGACATTTATGAGAATGTGATAGGCTTCATAGTATTGTTATACTCTGAATTTGTTAAATCTCACACAATTTATCTAAGGTAAGCTATATAAAATAAGAATGAGAAGTATCATTGCATAGAAATAATAAAGTAAATATAATCAGTTTACGATCTATGAACTGAAACCACACACTCAGACTTTAATAAGAGTGTCTAGATCAGAAGAGCTTAAAGTAGTGTAACTTAAGTTGCACAGCAAAGCTCTTCAAAGCTAAACTGGGACCAAGTAACTATTTCCTCGCTCTATTTCTCTCCAAAACCTCATTCATCCTGGTCATTGGATATCTTGTCATTAGAAGCTTGATTCCAGGGCTGCGACTAAGCCAATGAAACTAGTCAAGGATGTGTTTTCTCTGAGGAAAGTTTGACTCTAAATTCTTAGGATTCCTCTTCATAAAATAATTTGCTAGCATTGGTGTTGAGGGCTGTTATTGAATAATAAGGGAGAACACTTGATTTCAGTATTTATCGCCCAATATTGATTGCGAACCCTCTTAGCAAGATCTTGAGCTTTCAGGGGTGATATTAATTTGGCAATCGAGAAATGGAGTCTCAAGAGTCAAAGTCAAGGCATAGCAGGGGTATTGATTCTTAAGATACGGAATTAGCCTGCAATATCTTGGTCGTCTGTTCTATAGCCAAGCTTGTTGTTAAAGTGCCTATTTTTAAATACTTTTAAAGATACTGGGAGTATCTAAAGGTCTGTATCGGTGCTAGGTCCCGTTTTAAACAAAAAAGTTTCAAGGAAGTGTCTCGATAGTAAAGAGATTCCAGAATCCTCCGAACTTAATATCTCATAGATCTATGTTTAAATCTAAGAATTTGCTTTATTGTAGCTGTACTTGGTTTATTTCGATAGAAAATATCAAATCTTGTTAGATACTTTAAAGATTATGCATATTAAATCCTCTCCATAGTAAATTCAATAAGCAAGGAGCTGGCAATGGGGATAGGGTAAGATACCGGTTCAACACCTGATGTGGACATCCAAAATTGGAAGATAGATCACTCTTTACATTAGTAATTTATTTGCTAAAGCTTGTTAGCATATTCTTAGAGATCTTATCCGTCTATATACACTTGGGGTTGTAATAATCTTTAGTTATTTGGTCTAAAGGCATGGCCACTTCTTGCTAAGGAATTAGGATGAACTGCCCTCGAATGGTTTTAATTCATTAGCTCCGTTAATACACTTATCATGCTTATTTTGAGAAGAGAGGAGCAGATTGAGCAAGAATCCTGAAAAATTGATGCTCAGTTATTTGAGGATATCCATTTAAAACGTTTAAGCAAAACTTTAAAGCAGGTGAGCAAGTATGAATGTCCTTGGATCTCCAGTTCTACAGGTAAATCAAAGGAATTTAAGCTGATCTAGAGACTCTAAATTAGCTCAAGCGATTTCTAAGATAAAGATGCCAGTGATGGATAACGTTGAATTAATTCAGGTTGATTTGGAAATAAATATTTTAGAAACTTTGATGCTAAATTTACTCCTACTACTACTGAGAGCTATTGCATATTCAAAATGAAAGGGATGAAGAATCTTAGATGTTTTGATGTACTTCTCAGCCCTTGTGTAACTAAAACCAAACTATTTTTCATGTGTAATCTGAAAGGTAAATCCAAATCTCACCCTCTAACATCAAAGAAAAGGAATTGAAGAGATTGTTTGGATCAAGCAAGTATTGGGATTCTTTTGGGATGAAAGGATCTACATTCTCTCCCAAATGATCTTGATTCTTCCGAATGATTCGGGGAACGACTCTCAAAAGCCTCGCCTTTACACCATGAAAGATGGTCAACCCTGATGTTCAAGATGAAAGCTTCAATAAGCTTGAAAGCTTTGTTTTAGAGTCGACTAAATCCTCTGATCTGACGAAGAGCTTCAATAAACTTCATATAGATAGTGAAGTTTATATTTTACTCTGCCAAGAGATTCTGGCGAAATACTGGTTTCCTCATGTATGAATTTAATTCATTTTGATAGATTTATACGAGCATTTTCAGTGCTCAAACAGGGATTTTATACATGGATTCAATTCGATGCTGAACTCCCGGGGTTTTGGGGTTTTGGGGTTTTGGGGTTTTGGGG